AAATAAAAGTGTTAAACAAAATTAAAAGGGAGGATTATTGATGGAGGAATTGAAAAGATATATGGTCAAGGTGCTCTTAGCTCAGCTTCTGCACGTTTTTTTTTTTTTTTTTTATCGTTAAAGATAACTACTATTTAAAGTGGACCATAAAAGATACTATTATCCATTACACAAATTAATTTCCTTAGTTACTAAATGAATTATTTTACATATTTGGCTTTATCCATTAATAGAAAACTATATCTCATAAATCTTGTCACCAGAATGAAGAATGAATTACTTATAGTATATTTAAGAAAATTAATTTTTTTAAATATCAGTCTCAAAATTTAAACCTAATATACAAAATGACATTTAAATGAAATATATTGATTATAAGAATACTAATGAATATAAAAAAATAGAAAGCAAAACAATATTAGTGAATGCACACTTTTTCAAAAAATAATATTAAACAACTTTTATTCCATTAATTTTTGTTTTTCTTCATCTTTCATATTACCTTTATTTTAATTATCTTTCTCATCATCACCAAAAGCAATTATAATAATATTCTACACATTTTAATCAAGTAATTAATCATTTATCCTTTAGTGAAAGACTACCCTAAATTTGATATTCGATTTTGTAAGGATCACTTCCCCCCATCCCCATAGTATAATAGGAATATTTATAAAAAATTGTTCTTGTGCCAAAAAAGAATAATAATAAATTAAAAATAATTAAAATGATATGAAATAAGTAAGGAAAAAAATAACAAAAATAAAACTATATGGACCACACTAATAATTTTATAAAAGTTTGGAGGGATCTGGCCCCTCAATCTCCCTTAGCTCCACCTCTGATTTGGTGCATTCTAATATTTTACAAAAAAATTTCAACTCTTTGTTGGTATAAAATTCTCTCTCTATCTCTTTTTAACAAATTTACAAAGGATTGGACTCGAATCGTTGCCTTGAGAATGAAAGAATACACTTATACATAACTTACACATGACCTGACGCCACTGGAACGAAGGTCCAAGTACCTCTCTCTCTCTCTCTCTCTCTCTCTTTAACAAATTTACAAAGAATTGAATTTGAATCATTGCCTTGAGAATGAGATAATACACTTATACATAACTTACACATGACCTGACGCCACTGGAACGAAGGTCCAAGTATCTCTCTCTCTTTTTAATTTCAAATTTATAAGATATTTTCATTTCTATGGATATGTTCGTCTATCAATGTATTTGAATTGACCTCTCCAGATCAAGCTCGAGCTTCGATGATTTATCACTTGACTCGGCTTGATTAATTTAAATGGCATAATTATCTTTATTTATACTTACAAATAAACAAATAAAAAGTATATTTATCTTATGCTATTCAAATATATATATATTTTTTTAATATAGGAGAATTTGAGAGATGAGGTTTTTTTAAAGTCAAAAGTGACAGTCAAACTTCCAATCAAATTAACTTAAATATTAAAATTTAAGTACGAAATATTAAGATAAATGATTTAATTTTTATTAAAAACACATGTTAGATGGATCTATCAATAAATAAATAAATCAATCAATAATCTTATAAAAAAAAATCAATCAATAATGGGGGAGTTGTAGTCATGGAAGTCCCGACGTCACACGCCAGGATGAGCTAAGCTATCCCAAGCAACCCTGAGTTGCCTTAGGTGTTACTTGAAGCTTAATGAATTTAATTGAGTTCGAGCTCATTCCTTTTATCAAGAAAGTTGATATCATACCGTATTTGTTGGTATAGTCGGTATGCATCGATTTTTGTATTAAATCGAAATAATACGTGGTCTAATTTTGTTTCAATCAAATTTTGATAGTTTCAATCAAATTTTGGTGTATCAATCAATACAAGAAAATGGATCGGTATAAGTCAATTTAAATTTAAAAAAGAATAAATTTCATTTTTTGTCCTCAATTTTAATGTTTTACATAATTTTCATCCTTTAATTTTTTAATGTACTTTTTTAGTCCATCAACTATGAAAAATGTTTTTTTTTTTTTTCAGTCATTCTATCAATTACTCCGTTAAGTTTGTTTCAATATACATATTTTTAGTCCCTTAACTTAAAATGGATGGATGAAAAATATGCATATATTAGAAGTTGAGGGACTAAAAATGGTCATTTTAAACTTATTTTCAATTTATAGGAATATGATAACTTTAAACATTAGTACCTTTTATCTTATTTTAAAATTTGATATTTAATTTATAAAAATATATTTATAGCGATAAATTTAAAACGGTACACGAAAAATTTCGGTATCCAATACATACAATTTTAGTAGTAAAATCGGTACGCATATCAGTACAGTATTGACTACCTTGCCTTTTACCCTTGCTCCACAATAAGTCCATACGTACATAGATTTTTTAAGAGAGTTTACTGCCATCATTGACACATATAATTCTAGTTATCCATGAGTAACAACAGTGGACACCATTTTTGAAGGCTATGAATGCCCCCCTAAGGGTCTTTTGAGGTAATTGAAACTAACCTCAAGTTTAGCTATAACTTCTTTTTTAACAGCTTTGATTATTATTCATTTAGGTATTGGAGTATTTACCTGGAGGACCAACCTTGGGCTTTATAGGTTAGCTGAAGTGAAGATCTGCACTAAAGAAGGCTTTGAAGTTCTTTGCAGTTACAAGAATGTTTACCATTAAGTAGTTTATTAAATCATTCAGTGCTCGCTCAGTAAAGCAGAAAACTTTAGCAACCTGAGATAGAAATTCAGAGAGATGAGTGAGGAAGAAGGGAAAGTGGTGACCGTCATCGGAGCGTCGGGTTTCATTACCTCGTGGCTGGTAAAGCTCCTGCTCCAGCGTGGATACATAGTTAAACCCATCGTTCGTGACCCAAGTCAGTATTTAATTACTTTATAACACCTTCTTTTTCCCTGTTATCCCTGTTTTTTTGTTTTTCCTTTTATCTTTCTCCATATATGCAATAAGTTAACGGCGATTAGAAATTTTTTTTTTTGAACTTTTTTTTGTCTTGCGACGACGAGTTCGAAATCTGCCCGGAGAGGGAGATATGCATTTTTTTAATGGCACTAGCCATTGGGCCACAAGACCTAAGTGCAGGGCGATTAGAATTTTAGACACATTAGTTATAGAGATCTTTATTTGCAATTCCAACTAACTAAACTGCAAATATAAATTATTAGATAAAAATAGTCTTAACATTAAATGGCTAATTACTTACTAATGATTTAAATTATATTTTTTAAATTGCATAACACTTTTTTTTCTTAGTAATAATTGGTTGCCTTCCAAAGATTGCATTTTTTAGTAGAATCTTAATGATTTTTGGGTGCGGTAAATCAACTTTTATTTTTGGAATTAAAATCTATTTGAATGTGTATGACAGATGACGCGAAAAAAACAAAGCACTTGCACTACATGGAGGTAAGGAAAGACTACATTTATTCAAAGCAGATTTATTGAATGAAGGGAGCTTTGATTCTGTTGTGAATGGCTGTGAGGGTGTTTTTCACACAGCTTCCCCTGTTATCATCTCTTCTGCTGATCATCGTAAGGCACCATTAATCGATTCAGCAGTCAATGGAACACTTAATGTTCTAAAATCAAGTGCAAAAGTAAGTTCGATCAAGAGAGTAGTTGTGACATCTTCAGTGGCTGCAGTTGCATACAACGGAAAACCATTGACCCGAGATGTGGTGGTGGATGAGACATGGTTTTCTGATGCAGATTTTTGTGAGAAATCTAAATTCTGGTTTAATCTTTCCAAGACATTAGCTTAGGAGGCTGCCTAGAAGTTTGCAACAGAGAATGGGATGGATTTGGTGGTGATAAATCCTGGAGCTGTAATTGGTCCTATTTTTCAGCCGACAATTAGTTTCTAAGTGGAGAGGGTGTTGAACATTGTAAGTGGACAAGGACTCGCTCCATTTATTCGATTTTTTGATGTTCAAGATGTGCATTGGCACATATTTTAGCATTTGAAGTGCCTTCAGCTACTGGGAGATACTGCATTGTAGAAAGAACTACGGAAAACTCTAAGGTGTTGAAGATCTTAGATGAATTATACTCAGATTAGCACCTCAAAGAAAAATATGAAGATACAGCTGTTGGGATACCATTCAAGGTATCAAAGGAGAAAGCAACAAGCTTGGGTATGAGTTTCATTACACTGGAGGTGAGTTTGAAAGACACTGTTGAAAGCTTGAAGGTGAAGGGTTTCTTAAGCATCTGAAACTATTGGTT